GGGCGGGGGTCGGCGGCTTGGGGCAGTCAGCCATGCCTAAGAATTAGGTACCCGCAGCCTGCGCGCGGCGCGCCATCCTTACTCCTCTCCTTCCAGAGCGACCCCAAGAAAGCCTGCTGTACAGATTGCATGCAGGCGAGCGGCCCCAGCAGCCGTCGCCGGGCATCCGTCGACAGCTGCCGGCCGCGCCGCCCGGCTCTGCGGCAGCTGCCTGGCGCAGCTGCCCGCGTCCCGCGGCGTCCCACCTGCCCCAGGATGTTCTCCATGTCCTCCTGGAAACCCATGTCGAGCATCTGGTCCGCCTCGTCCAACACGGCGTAGCGGATCTGGGGGCGGCGGTTGAACACGATACCAAAGTGGGCATGCGAGGGGGTGGGTCGACGGGCACGCTGCGTGGCAGGGTCCTGGTGTGTCGCCCCTTTGGGCATGTGCGCGCCGCGCGGGCGCGGGGCCGCGGGCGGGCGCAAGCGCAGCAGGGACTCGGGCGGGGACGGAGCCCCAGTACATCGGCAGCACGCACCCCATATGCCCTCCACCCCAAACCCTGACACCCACACGACACACGCAAGCAGACTCGCGCACATGCGCGCGCACACACGTACACACACGCGCGCGCGCGCACGCGCACCTTATCCAGCTTCAGGGAGCGCCTATCAATGAGGTCCATCACGCGCCCCGGCGTCCCCACCACCACGTCCACGCCGCCCGCCAGATCGCGGATCTGGGCGCCGATCGGGACGCCACCATAGAAGGAGCGGACGACCAGGTTCGGGCAGGCCGACTCAAACTCCTTGGCGACCTGGCAGGGGCGAGTAAGGGGTGAACAAGCATGAGGGTTAGTGCACAAGGGGGCAATGAGGTTGGTGCGGCACCAGAACGAGGGGGGGGGGGCTGACAGGGCGCCGGGGCGGTCGATGGGGCGGCCGCGGGCGCGGCGCTGACCGATTGTGAGGCCGAGGTGCCGGGCGCGCGGCCAAGGTCAAAGGGTTAGTAAAGCGTCGACCGGCTTGCAGTGCTAACTGCTCCACGCCCTCTCCTGGCCTGCACCCTCCGGCGCCCCTCCCCTCGCGTCCCCGCAGCTCTCGGACACGCCTCGAGCATGCCGCCCGAGCGCCTCCCGCCCCCTGCACGCGCCACCCCAGGAAACACCTCCCCGCGGGCCGCCGCAGGCGCGCGCATAAGGATCAAATGCTTGCAGGCAAGCCGGCCGCATGCGCCGCGCCGCACCTGATTAGCCAGCTCCCTCGTGGGCGCCAGCACGATGCACCTCGGCGCCCGCCCCGGCACCCCGCGCCGCCGCCGGCCGTCGAGGGGCACGCCGCCCGCAGCCTCCCTGTCTTCGGCAAGGATGCCCTCTATGACGGGCAGCGCAAACGCGAGGGTCTTGCCGGAGCCGGTCTTGGCGCGGCCAATCAGGTCCCGGCCCTCCATGGCCGGCTGGAGGACGAGCCTCTGGATGGGGAACAGCGCGGTGATGCCGCGGGCCTGCAGCGCGCGCACGGTCTCGTCGGAGAGCCCGAGGTTGGAGACCTGGGGTCGGAGGAGGGGGGCAGGGCGTGAGGGCAGTGGCCGGCGCGAGGAGCGGGGCCTTGTGGCGAGCGGCGCTGCTCGGCGCAGCGCAGCGAGTGGGGCGCTCGGAACGCTTGCCAGATTGGGGCCAGGGTGGTGCACGCTCGGCGCGGCGGAGCGCAGGATAAGTCTTATGACAAGTCGGCGCGACGCCGTGGGCGCGAGGGCGCTCGAGGCGCGTGGGCACTTCGCGGCAGCGGCGCTGCGCACCAAGAGCGTCTCGTCCACGTCAGACTCAACGCCATCCTCCTCCCACTCGTCCCCCTCCCCAAACTCGTCCTCCTCATCCAGCATGGAGCTGAAGGTCGCCGACATGTCCGACGTGCTGCGCTCCTCGGCCTGGGAGGGTGGGGAGGGGGGCGCGGCGGGATGGTGTGGTGGTGCGCGGCGCAACGGCGAGCGCAGGCGGCGGACGGGGTCGCTTGCGGCCAATGCGCATGGCGGGCCCCACGGCCCGTAGGCATTGCGCAAGGCGCGAATGGGCGTGTGACGTGCGAGCCAGGTCGAGAATAGCCGGCCGCCGAGGAGCATCGACCACCACCAGGTGTGGTGGTCCATTGGAGCCGCGTCAGAGCAGCAATGTGCTACCCTATAAATGTGCATGAATATTATGCATATGTGGCCTCACTCACCAGCGCGGTCCGGAGCAGGAACTGGTCGCGCCTGGACATGCGCTGAGCGGGGAGGCTGCGCCTGGCAACAACGAGTTGCGCTCGCACGGATTGAGGGACATGCGTGCGCGCCCCGCAGCCTGCGAGCTGCAGGCCGCCCAGGCGGGCCGAGAGAGCCATTTGTGTCGTGTAGGTGGGCGATCGACGAGCGTTTGGGGTTGTATATTGCCCCTTGAGTTGAATGAAAGTGTAGAGGACACCGCAGCACCCGTTTAGAAGGGCAAGGAAAGAATTGTGGTCGTGGGCGCCGTCACCAGGGCGTTTGAGTACCTCGTTGTTGTGCCCCTGGACCCATTCGCGTGCTCGAAGATTAAAAATTGATGTTTTCAAAGCCGTGGTGACGCCTGTTAACGCTGTTGAACCTCTTCGTTGCGCCCCCGTCGACCCCGCCGGCGGCCTGGTCTACAGCACGCGGGTGAGAGGTTGGACCCTTGCGAATGCTTGTGTCCCACTCAATGCTTCCGGTAGCTCAAGTGTATCAATCTCCTTACAATCCTCACAAGTCAACACACTGCATCGTAGCGGCTGGCGCCCCGCAGGCATGGGTGGCGTGGGTAGAGTGCAATTGCGGGTGTGCACATGCCGTTGACTAGACTGTTCCCGCAGGCTTGGCTGGGCTGTGCGTGCACATGACCTGAGTTCTGCATCAACAACACTCGAGCGCGCTTCCACGGCTCTACAGATGAGTACAGCTGCGACCGCGGCGCCGCAGGGTTTGCACTGGTGGTCCCAATGCCTGCCTGCGTGTGAAAGGCTCATCCGTATCAGTGTGGGCATCCGAGCAGCATCTTAATGTTCTGTAAGCAGTCCACCTGGACAAGCACACACCCCCGCTCGTCAGCGTTCCTTGCAGTGCCCTCCGGCACAGCTTCGGGCTCCTCGTGCACCAGTGCGTCGCAGCGTTGACGGGATGTGGAACGTATCGTGCTCCATCGCCTTGCAAGAAAGATTGCCGCCTGCACCCCTGCTCCCTTCAGCCTCCGGCACAGAGTGGTGTGCACCATCGTGGCTGCGCCCCTCGTTATCATCACATTACTGCAGCGCATACATTGGCTGGCACATGAGGGTGCTCTTGCCGTGTGGCTGTGCGCAGCGGCTGTTGCTTTTGGTTGCCAGCCCGGCTTGTACCCTGCAGTCCACAGGTGATCACATCCAGTCCACGGACACTTTTCAATGCACGTCCACGCCAGGGTGATTGCCTGCATGCACCTTACCCTGTGGTCAATCTATAGCGCTCTCCTTGGGATTGCACCGGCCCAGCCACTACCGTACCAGGCCGCACATCAAACCTTGATTCAGGTCAGCTGCACCACCTTCATACCTGTGGGGCCTGCCTTACGCCCCGCAGCATGGTTTCACCCTGCAATTATTCTTTGATTTAATCAAGCGGAGTGCTTGGAACGACCGCAGTTTTTCTGTTACGGGATCGGGGAGTTGCGTGGCAGCTGAGTCGGGAGCTGCCGGATCTGCAAAGGATAAGAAAGCCACGCGGTCCACTTCACGTTTCTGTTTCAAATTCACAAATTTCCAAACCACAGCCAGAGGCAAGCACCGTGTTGCCCTTGCTTTCGTCGCCGCCGCCACCAACGAACGAAGCTTGCACGGCGTGGCCTTGCCGGGCACTCTCTGACAACACGACCGACTGCGCTGTCCCACTTGCACTAACCATACGCGGCCCCATCCAGGTGTTCGTTGCACGGCAAGGCCCCAGGCCCCGTTCACAATGACGAGATTCACGCAGGAGGCTGCCTGCAGCTGCAGGGGCGATGGGTCCTGCCGCCCTGCTTGTGCGTCTCCCGCACCGCCCTTCCTACTGTCATCAATACAGCATACGCCGCAGCTGACTTCCGAACCGCCGCAGCCGTCACCTTTCATGTTGCAATCGGTCTCGCCGCGGCTGCACACGTCGATCGTGCTGCGAAGCAGTGCGCTGCAGCAGCTGCCGCAGCCGCAGCCGCATCGGGGGACCGGCAGGGACGACGGCAGGTGCAGACGGAGGCTGCAGTGACGCGCAGCTACAGGGGAGGCGCCCAAACAGTCGCTGCGCCCCGGAACACCCGGGCCGTTGGGGCTCCAGCAAAGCGACTGGGTGCGGCCACGCACATCGCTGCCGTGGTCGCCCACCTCGCTGGTGACACCGCCCGCGCAGCTGCTGCCGTTGTGCGGGGCGCGGCTGTGGTGAAGAGGGCCGCCACAACCATTGGCGGTGCCGCGGCTGCAGTTGGAAGTCCCGCAATGGCACGACGTGCTGCCGCAGCCAGACGTGCTGCCGCTGATGTTGGCCGTGCTGCAGCCAATATTGGCAAGGGTGCGGCATATGTGGCACGCGGCGCCACGGCCGTTGGCCGCTTGTTGGGGGATAGCCGCCTAGAGGCGAGGTCGCGGCCATGCCGTTTGGCAGAGTGCCGCAGTCCTGCCGCGGTCGCCGCGGTCTGGACCACCAAATCAACGGCTGATAGCACACGATGAAGGCACTTGCCAGTGTAGTGCTCGACCTTGCAACACTGCAGCAGAACACACTGTCACCGCACCCAGGTGTAACTGCTGTGCCTGATGCATCACAATATCTGCACAGCTCCCACACAGCACGCATCCATCAGAAACGATTGTTGGCATATCCCTGCATTCAAGTTGGTTGGCTTCTGCAACTGCCGCACGTCCTTCCGACGCTGACATCCATGGGCACATGGATTGCTGCAGCAGCGCACCTGCGTTGCCAGCTCGAATGAATCACTCGTCCGTGCTGTGCCCGGACGCGTGCGGTGCGACATAAAGTCACACAACATCATGCAATAAACATCAATGGCGTTCAGTATCGCCGGCCTGCAGACTATCGCCGCGGCAGCAACGTTGACCTCTGACAGTTGTGCGTGGGTCAAACGTGGGATAAGGAGAGTCCGAGAGACGTGCGTGCCGCGCTGCTGTGTAATTGGTGCCATGAAACCCCTCGTGCGATGTGATTTTCGTGCTTCAGAAATGTACTGTTGCATGTGTGCCTCGCTGCACCTCTTGCCTCTGCGCAGGATGCACTGCTGCACCAGTGCTTCATGTGTGCAAGGACCCTACCGGTACTGTACACTGCGCCATCTGTGACTGCCCGAAGTAGACCATGGGATTGAGCTGTGCCCTCACCTTATAAGCCCGCGGATATTGTTGCCGTGTTTTCTTATATCGGGCATCACCATATCATATCATCACTTGCTGGGGCTGCCCGCGCTTTGTACTGCGTTTGTGTGCTCTGACGGAGAGCAGAAGGTTTTTGAATCGTTTGCATAGTCAGAATTTTTCGTGGCCGTCAATCACTGTAGCTCATCACTGCAGTCCTGCCACGCATCAGCGATCGAGACGCAGCGCGGGGATGGTCCCGAGGGGCCCTTAGGAGCGGTCGTTTGCATCCGACACGGCGTCGTTTGCACTAATTCCAGCGGCAGTACGCGCGCAAGCGGTCAAGCGCGCCGGACGGCCCATCGGCAAGCGGTAGCGCACGCAGCGCACGCACAGCACTGCGCGGCGCGCCGCTGCCTTGACCCGCCGGATCGGGGCGTCCCGGCCGCGGGCGGCGCGGACATGGACCATGTGGTGGACAACTATCGCGCGCCCGATGGGTCGCGCTACACGGGCACGCTCAAGGGCGGCCTGCCCAACGGCCTCGGCACTTGCGTCTGGCAGAACGGCAGCCAATACGATGGGGAGTGGCGCAACGGCGTGATGCACGGCTTCGGCACGTACGTGTGGCCGACGGGCCAGCGATACGACGGCGAATGGAAGGTGGGCGCCAGGGGGGGCGGGCCTGAGGCCAGGGCCTGGCGTGCTAGCATGCGCGCGGCTGCGCTGGCTTGCGCTAGCTCCCACGGGTCACTCGCCAGGGTCTCACCTTTTGTGCGCACGCACCGCAGGACGGCCGCCGGGACGGCATTGGGATCAAAACCTACGAGGACGGCTCCATGTACGACGGCTTTTGGCAGGACGGAAAAAAGCACGGTTTGGGGGTGTACCGTCCGCCCCCTCCGGAGGAGGCGTCGCGGCGGACCAGTTTGGGCAACTGGCAGCCGCCAGCCCAGCAGCAGCAGCAGCAGCAGCAGCAACAGATCGCTGATGGGGAGCAGCCCGCGCCAGCGGCGGCCGAGGACTCCCCGACGAGCCCGCGGCCAGCGGAGGCGCCTGCGACGCCTGCAGCGGAGGGCACGCCTAAAGCCAAAGCTGACGCGAAGCTGCTCGAGGAGCCAGAGGGCATGAATCATATCGCGAGCATCGGCAATATCATGCAGATGGCCCATGTCGGCCTCCCGCCGTCGCGCCTCTCTGTGCGCACGACGCTCGTCAGTACACCCGCTGCCGGCTCGCAGCCGAGCGCCCCCAGCTCGGCCGCGCCACCCACCGCGCCTGCGGCGCCCGCAGCAGCCCCGCCGCCGCCGCCGCCGCCGCTCGCAGACGCGCTCGCGCCGCTGCTCGCGGCATCCACCGGCGGCGGCGCTGGCGCCGGCGGCGCGCCCGCGGC